AATGAGTCACTCTTTAGAAATAAAATAGTAAACAGCTCTGCTATCCTTGGTTTCAGATAGTGGTGTGGTCTGTAGGAATTTTCACTACTCACCCTAAGACCTAAGTGGTTGGAATCCATTAGTGGCTCCTCAAGAGAAAGATGGGAAGTCTCTTACTGTGCAATTTATAGCCTCAAAGGCTCACTAAAAAGTCAGTTCTAACTCAGCAAAGAGGATATTTTAAAATAAATAAATAAATTTTTTTTATTTATTTTGTATTCAATTTATAGTACTAGTGTTTGGATTATTTACATAATCTTCCCAAAAGGTTTATATTCTACAGGTTAAGTTAGTTATAAACATTTCCTTCCCAAGAACAGTCATTTATATTTTGACACAGTGTTCCCAAATAGTGTGTATCCTGACTTTTGCTTCCACAGAATACATGTTGGTCCCATCTTTTTTCATTTAAAATGAGTGCCTCCAGTTTAAAGCATTAACATTCCTGTGTATGAAGTCTTCAGTGTGGTTTCTGTGTATTCTTGATGACTTATATACAAGAGTCTGTAAAAGTCCATAAAATAAGTTCTACTCTGTTGTCCTCTTTAGGTTGTACCCAATATTGGAAGCATGAAAGGTTCAGCTTAATTTCTAATGAAGTCAGAGATGGTGAAGATTTTCTTTAACTGTGTTCAGTACATAGAGGTGTTCTGATTTTGGGACCATCATTGTTGGCAATTTGTGAACAAATTGTTATGTTAAACACAGTGCTCCTTAGAGACAAGGATGGTGAAGGTCCATCTCATGTACTTTGAACATATTGTCCAGACGGGATGGTCCTTGCAAAAAAAGACATCACAGTGGGAAAGGTGGAGGGTCAGAGAAAGAAAGGATACGCTTCAGCAAGAGGGGTTGACACAGCATCTGAGAGATGGGAGTATGGAGCAAGTTTCGGATGTGTTCTTCATAGTCAACTCAATACACATGACAGCATTGTTCATCAGCATCCTTGAGCAGTAGCTTCCAAATTGTATTCCAAAGTATCCTAGCATTTCAGTCATTATACACATAGGAAAGATGCACAGAGTTTCAAATGTACATTCCAAATTTTATCTTCTAATGGCCAGCAATTGTGCTGCAGGTTAACTGGTTTGGGGCAGATTTTAGCATAAAGCTTCCCTTGCCCCTTTATGTGCATATATGAAATGTTTGTAAACAGAGACTTTAGTTTTGAGTCCCTAAATCTTCTATGAATGTAGATTGTGAGTCCACCCGTATTAAATTATCTAAGAAGGCACATTATGTGGCTTTCTGTACAAGGCTTAATTTATACTCAGCAGGGCCCAGACACATGTCTGTGGAAGCTTGCTTTGGCCATAGAGTAAGCATAAATAATTCCAGTGATTGGTAACTTACTGCACTCAAATATGATGATGATGCAAATTTAGGCTGATTTCTTCACCAGGAGTAGCATCCATTTCCTAAACAACATGCCTCTGAAAATGGCGATAGTTACAGAAAGGTTTCAGGCCTTTAGTTCATAGGGTCGCTGTGAATCGTGCTCGACTCAAAAGCAATCAACAACGATAATACTATTAGTTATAATAAACAAGTATCTTTGAAAAAGTATTTTCTTCATTAACAACTGGTTCATTTTAATCAAAGCCATAATACAACTCAAAGACAAAGTTTTCTTTTTTTAACAATTCTAGTAACCATGTAAACCTGCAGAATTATCATGATGCTATGTAACCAGACAAAACAGAAATAGTTTGCTTCTATAGCTAATGCAAAACTATATGTACCATCTGAACACCAAACCAAATTAGTTGACTGCAACTTATGGAGACTGCCTATACAGAATAGAACAAGGCTCCATAAGGTTTTCAAGGCTGCAGTAGCTAAAGTGTTTGGCTGGCAACTAAAAGATTGGTAATTTGAATGTACCACTCACTCCAGGAATGTCTACTTAATTACAGATTTACAACATTGGAAACCTCCTGAAGTAGTAATTGTGGTGTGATGACTAAGACATTCACCTGTTAACCAAAAGATCAGTGGTTCAAACACAGAAACTTAACCAGGAGTCCAGGAAAGTATAAAGACTTGCTGTTGTTGTTAGCTTGTGTATATATTTTCTGGCACAAGGATTTAATATTTTCATCAGAATCTCTGAGAAATTCAGAACCTTAGAAGTTCAAGAAATAATTGTTTTTATCAAGACCAATTTTTATCAAGGTCAGTTTTCTTCATGGAACTTAATAAAAATTCTTACTAAAATTGTATATCTGTGTCTTTTTTGGTAAATTACATTTTGTACTCATTAAAACTGTGAATGAATATATCACTTTAGACAGTACTTTTCTTTCATTGGTTCTATAAGATAGAAGCACTTCTTGCAGAAGACAAGAGAATATAGCCTTCAATATGGATAACATCTCAGTGTTAAGAAAACAAAAAATCCTACCACTGGACCTGTAGACAGCATCATAATTGATGGAGAAACGATTGAAACTGTCAACAGCTTCCTCTTACTTATATCCACAATCAACACCCTTGGTATCTATCAGCAGTCAGAAAATCAGGAGACGTATTGCCCTGGGAAAGCTACAGTCAGGCATGTCTCCAAATTATTGAGGAGCAATGATATCAGTTTGAAGACTAAGGTATGTCTGATTCAGCCCATGGTCTTTCTGATGACTTGCTATGTATCTGAGAGCTGGACAGTGAGTAAGTATGACAGAAGAAGAATTGATACCTTTGAGCTGCAGTGCTGGAGAAGAGCACTGAACATCCCATGGACTGCCTAAAGAACAGACAAATACGACTTTGAGTAAGTGCAGCCTAAGTGTTCCTTGGAGGCAAAGATGATAAGCTTCATCTCACATAATTCAGGCATGTTGCTATTCCTTGGAAAGGGATGTCATGCTCGGAAAGGCAGAGGGTCGGCAAGTGGAAGACCTTCAACCAGGTGATTGGCACAGTATAGGGCAGAGTTCAGATCTGTTGTTCATAGGGTTGCTATGGGTTGTATTAGACTCAAAGGCACCTCACAACAATAATATAATATGGAACTGTAGAGCTCTGTGCTGGGCAGTTACAATTCTACTCAAATATAGGTTGTAGCTTCTTGAGAATATAATGCTGTTGAGTATATATATTCATTACTCTATATAAAGGGAAAATTTGGTATATTTTGGGCACCTCGCCAGGAGGGACTGGTCCTGGGAGAAGGACGTCATGCTTGGAAGGGTGAAGGGACAGCACAGTAGAACGAGACCCCGGATGAGATGGATTGATACAGTAACTGTGGCAATGGGGGTTGATATGTCGAAATTACTGAGATTGGCTCAGAATAGGACAGAGTTCAGAGCTGTTGTACATAGGGTTGCTATGAGTCACACCAACTCATCCATAACAACAACAATTGGTATGAACAATTAAATCATTTGTTGTTGTTGTTGTTGTTGCTGCTGTTGTTGTTAAGTGCCGTCAAGTCGCAGGCGACTTATAGCGACCCTATGAAGGAGAGTCCTCAACACTTGGGTGTCTTTCATCCTCTCTCCAGGTTCATAGGGTTTCCGGAGGCAAGCTATTATGGAAGTGGATGCTACTCTTCCTTCCAAGATTAAATAATATAGCCAAAGTTAATTTTAAGGTTAGGAAACTAATGACTAGTAGGGTAAAATCATGCCTTTGTGCTCTGCACGTCACATTTTCTTTCAATTAGATGGTTGTTTTGGAGGTCAGAGTTTGCTGGTGTAGTTATTGCATATTGTAAGTTAGCTCAACTTTCCCAGAACAGTCGAGGAAGGGAGGCAATAACAATGGAGCTGCTCTTATTTAAGGAGATAGAAATGGAATCAGAAGGAGGATATTGTGAGGTGCGCCTGCTCTCTGGCCTTTTTTTCCAGTCAACTCTGCCCCTTCGTAGTAGTAAGGAAATCACTCACTGCTTTCCCAACTTCTTACACATGTATTTGGGAGGAGAAGTGAATAGCACTGGGACCTGCTACCGTGCCCTGGCTTTTATTATCCATTGTTCTTGACTCAGATAATGGCTTTGGAAAGGCTCAGTTTACTAGAACATGGAGGCTACATTCCAGTAGGACAGGAACACGTATCTCAAAAATTTCATGGAATTTCTTTTTTGAAGCACATTATTTATACATTAGTTTTTTAATAACGTGTTCGCTTACAAATATAAATGAGGTTCTGGGGGAGAAATGATGAGTTTGTTTTAAGAGCTTTGTGACAAAAAGAATTTCAGTGCTTGATGCATTAGATGTGAGGAATTTTAAAAATCTTATAATCGACACTCTTGGCACCAGCAGCCAGGAATTTAAAAGATGTATTGATTGCGATGCGAAAGTCTGTGGTTAGAAACCTCTCTAAAGTACTGAAGAGCAACAATGTCAGTCTGGAAAATAGGGTATGCCTGATATAGGCCATGGTCTTTGCAGACACTTGCTATGCATCAGAGAGTTGGACAATAACTAGGGATGATAGAAGGAGAATTAATGCCTTTGAGCTGTGGTATTGGAGAAGAGTATTGAATAAACAGGTTTGTCCTGGAGAGGGTGAAGCCAGGCTGCTCCTTGGAGGCAAGAATTATGAAGCTTCATCTGACATACTTTGGACATAATGCAAGGAGGGACCAGTCTTTGGAGAAAGACATCATGCTTGGGAGGGGAGAGGGACAACGCAGGAGAGGAAGACCCTTGATGAGATGGATTGATTCAGTGTCTGGGGTGATGAGGGTAGGTGTGTCAGAGACAGTGAGATTGGCACAGGATATGACAGGGTTTAGGGTTGTTTGTACACTATGATTCACAGGTGACTTGACAGCACATAACAACAACAACTTTAGTATTGTATTTTGTAGGCACAGTTTGCCATTCTGCTCACTGCCACCATCACCATGTGTCACAGCCATTCTCCCATGCACGCCGCTGTTGTCTGGGAAAGCTGTAGCCCGTCCCTTAAGCTCTGCTTACCTTTGTTTATCTTCTTCTTTGCAGAGACCCTCCTGGATGACTTCCTCCTCACGTACACTGTGTTCATGACGACTGATGACTTGTGCCAGGCGCTGTTAAGGCAATATCCTTCATTAACTTCGATGCTGTGTCATCTTCCTCGGAGACAGATGCCCTACATTAGAAATTAACTGCCTTTCTTCATTTACTCAGTCCTGTACTCGTGTGTAGATATGTTAAATATTAATGTTGATATGCAAGGTGAGAGTTGAAATGAGACAGAATAGATTGGTTTACTGGTAACCATGAGCCCATTTTCACATTCTGCATCATGGGTAGATTGGACAGTTTATTTTGTGTTCTCTAATTCCGTGACTTGTGATGAAATCACAAATCTGGAAATCTGGAGATAAATCTGGCATAATGAGTAAAGCCTAGAGAAGTGGAGTGAGCTGGCAATATCACTTAGTAAGTGGAAGTCGAAGGGAAGTCATATGAAGCGAGTGTCATATCATTTGCCTGTTAAGTATCATAGATCCAGGCTGGGGTCCCTTAGAGACACAAACCATTGTTTGCCATGGGAGATCTAAACTGTACTCTTGAATCAACTGTCACCTTTTCATAGCTTTGTTAACGCATATACTCTTAGACTGATGGATGTGATTGGAAGGTTAATGACTATTAACTGCAAGGAAGCCTTATAATTTTATGCATTAGGTAGAACAAATGTAGTATAGAAACATTGAAAGGCAAAAAAAGAAAATAAGGCCAAATAGATTTGCAGAAAAATCTCCAAGTGGGCTTCTTGTCCTATAATCTTTAAAGAAGATGCTTCCAGATCACACAAGTCAGCCCTTATGTTTGCTTTTTATTAAACCAAATTGAATGTTCCCCTATAATTTACATGAAAATTTTTAGGAAAGTGAACCTTATTTTTTTTCTTAATTTGATGAGAGGAGGAGGGATATATAATAGAGTTGTATTGGACACTGATAGTTTTGTTAATATTCTTTATGGAAGCCACTGTCACACTTTTTTTCTTTCTTTTCAATAAGTGAACCTTATTTTTTTTTTTCTTTCTTTCCAGCTGGTGCACTGGAACCATCAACTTTTAGGTTTTCAGTCAAGCTCTTAACTACTGTGCCCCAGGGCTCCTCTCTATGTAATCTAATAAGGACAAATTGTAAAAGAATGTGTGTATTCTGACAGAGTAAACTGGAATAATAAAAATGTAAAGGTAATCAGTAAACATTTTTAAAAAACATCTTGCAGAGTAGAGAACAAGATTAAGCAGAGTAACAACCAAAAGACATACTTTTGAGATGCCTTGAGGTTATATGAGTTCTGATTCATAAAAACCCTTAGTACAATTGAACAAAACACTCCCAGATCCTACACAGTGGTTGCCATGCTGTTGTTGTTACTGATAGGTGCTATCAGGTTGATTTCTATTGTGCACAACAAATGAAAAACCCGCCAGTCCTGGATCATCCTCCGAATCTTCACTGTCCCAAAGCCCTTGGTTGTAATAACTCTGTCAATCCATCTCAGTGAAAGACTTCCATTTGCTGACTTTCTGCTTTTCCAAGCAGGATGTCCTTTTCCAAGGATTGCTACCTCAGGACAACTACATAGCTCCACCAAAACGTTAAGTCATAGTGGTAGCAGTTGTGGTTATTATAAGATGCCATCAAATCAATAATGAATCAGAGTGGCTTTGTGAACAAGAGATTGGAGCCCTGCCCGTCATTCACTGTCTCCATGCTCACAGCTGTGCTAGAACCCACTGATACAGTCACTTTGTCAATCCATCTCCTTAAAAATTTTCCTCTCTTGCTCTAAACTTCTACTTTGCCTAGTGTGGTACCTTTTCCAAGGATTGATGTCCTCTGACCACCTGGCCACCCAAGGATCACCCTGGCTCCTCCAAACCAGGATTGTTCTTTTGGTAGTCCATTGGATATTCTGTACTCTTCACTACCACCACCAGTCCGATCTTTGGTCTCCATTATTCATTGCCACCTTTTGCAAGCATGTATGAAACCATTGAAAATATCACGGCTTGGGTCATGTGCACCTTATTCTTTATAGACTTCTTTGCTCTATAATGCTTTAATTAGGTCTTTGATAGCAGATTTTGCCCAGTGCAAAATGTCTTTTGATTTTTTGGCTGCTCCTACCTTGGTGTTGATTTTGGATCCAAATAAAATGAATAATTGACAATTTCAATCTTTTCCCCATCTAGCATCACGTTGTCTATTGGCTTGGTGATGGAGATTTTATTTTCTTAAAGTCAAGATGTACTCATACTGAAGGCTGTAGTGTTTGATCTTCTTTAGTAAGTACATCAAGTCATCTTCACTTTCTATAAGTTGTGCCATCTTCATTGTCTTCCTCTAATACTAGTGCTACATTCTTAATACAGTCCAGCTTCTCAGCAAACAGATTAAATAGATATGGAGAAAGGATACAATCATGTTGCACACCTTTCTTGATTTTAAACCACATACGTGTTCTGTGCAAATAACAGTTTCTTGCCCTTAATGGGTTTTGCTTCACCCCAACTAGGTGTTCTGGAATTTCCCTTCTTCTCAAAGTTATCCATATTTTTATAGGATCCACACAGTTGAATGCTTTTGCGTAGTCAATAAGGTTGAGGTTGTTAACAGTTACAGCTTGCTCGGCTCCACAATCAACACTGTTGGCACTAGCAGCCAGGAAAGCAAAAGATGATCTGCTGTAGAGTACTGAGAAGCAAAAATGTCAGTCTAGAGGCTAAGGTGCACCTGATCCATACTGTGGTCTTCAGAATTGCTTGATATGCGTTAGAGAGCTGGACAATGACTAAGGATGACAGAAGTATCGATGCCTTTGAGTTGTGCTGGAGAAGAGTCTTGAACATACCATGGTCCATCAAGAAAACAAATTAGTCTGTCTTGGAGAAGGTGAAACCAAGTTTCTTCTTGGCAGCTAGGATTTTGAAGCTTTGTCTCACATACTTTGGGTACATGGCCAGGAGGGATTGACGAGTCCTTGGAGAAGGACATCATACTTGGAAGAATGGAGGGACATTGCGGGAGAGGAAGACCCTAGGTGAGATGGATTGATACAGTACCTGTAGAAATGAGGGTGGGTGTGTCAGAGTCAATGAAACTGGATCAGAATAAGACACATTTCAGAGCTGTTGTACATAGGGTCAATATGAGTTACAGGTGACTTGATGGTGCGTAACAACAGCAACAAGTCAATAAAACACAAGTAAACATCTTTCTGGTATTCCTTGCTTTTAAGCTCGATCCATCTAGCAATGATACTCCTCATTCCATGGCCTCTTCTAGATCCAACTTGAATTTCTGGCAGTTCGTGTCAATGTATTGTTCCAGCCATTTAAAAATAATCTTCAGGAAGATTATACTTGCGTGTAAGGAATGATATTGTCTGATAATTTCCATACTTTGTTGTATCACCCTTTTTTGGAATAGAAGCAAATATAAATCTCTTCCATTCAGTCAGATAGCTATATTCCAGATTTCTTGGCATAAACTAGTGAGCATAACTAGAGTTCTGTTTGCTGAAACACTTCAGCTGGTGTTCCATCAATTCCTAGGGCCCAGTTTTTTGCCATTGTCTTTAGTTCAGCTTACACTTCTTTTTGCAGTGCCTCTGGTTCTTGATCAACTGCTTCTTTCTCAAATGATTCCATGTCAACCAATTCTTTTTGGTACAGTGACTATGTTTCCTTATATCCTCTTTTGTTGTTTCCTGTATCAGTCAGTATTTTGCCCGTATAATCATCTGTATTGCAACTCAAGGCTTGATTCATACTCCCCACATCCCTTGAGATCATTCACCTTGAGAAATACTGAGCGTGTTCTTCTCTTTGGGGTGTTTAACTCCAAGCCTTTGCATATTTTGTCATAACACTGTTCTTTGCCTTCTCCAATTGTCCTTTGGCTTCTTCTGTTCAGCTCTCTTATTTCATCATTTCTTTGTTTTGCTTTAGCTTTAACCTTAAACTATTTGTGATTTAAAAAAAAAAAACACATACCTTCTCCCAACAAACTGTGTTTCTCTTTGCCTCTATAAATAACTTCCTTCTTCTATGAAATCAGAACTGGATAGTACCTGGCTATCATTACTAAACATTTTGATTGAGAATTCTGTAGAAAATTAAACCCTCAAAATTCTTCTAATCTCTGAGATAATGCATAAGCTTTAAACCAAAAAATATTCCCTACAGTGTTCTTAAAATAACCTATCCTATAGCTTAGCAATAGGATTTTTATTGATAGGGTCGCTATGAGTCGCCTACGACTCGATAGCACTTAACAACAACAACAACAACATAGCTTAGCTAATACTGCTCTTTTACAAAGTATTTCTGTAGAATCAATCATATTGAAGATCCTCAACCAGATGAGTTGACACAGTGACTGCAGCAGTGGCCTCAAGTATGTCAGAGATTGTAAGAATGGCACAGGATAGGACCTGGAGCTCTGGTGGTCTAGTGACAAGAAGCTGTCCTGCATTCTCTAAGGTGATTTGAGGCCACCAGCTGCTTCATGGGAGAGGGATGGCCAATCTCCTCCTGTGTGATTAAACTGCCTCTGAAAACCCACTGCAGGGTCAGCTCTGACTCTATGGTACAAAAAAACCCACAGGACAAAGTTCAGACCTCTCAACAGAACCTAATCACAACAACGTTAGATAGAAACCATCAAGCTAGTGAATTTCTGTTATTGAAGGAAAGCTACCTCAGGAAAGGAAGATGAGAATGATTGCACAACTCAAAGAATTTACAATATATAACAACAAAATAAATACAACTTAAAGGAAAAAACAAAGTAAGTGGTAGTAACTGAAATCTCAGTCTTTGAGATTGCTTTCTCCTTCTAGTAGGGCATAGTATTTGTACAGCTTTTATAAAATGCTCTTTCTTCCTATCTTAAAAAGGAGTTGTTACTATTTTCTATTTTCCAGGTTTGTGGGGTTTGGGGGTTTTTTTTTTGGTATAATGAGCTTATTATAGTCACAGGAAAAGAAGAAAAGGATATTTGCATTGTGGAAGTAATACAGGACAACTCTTTCGATTTTTCCCTTTCATGAAAATGCCTAGAAGAAATAGATACTTTGACAAATTCTTTATCGAGCTGTCTGATTATATTCTATAGATGAGAATCAAAAAAATCAGGTGACCGTAATGTTTTTACACAGGATGAAATGATAGTGACAGAATTAATTTTCAAATAAAAAACTGTTTATAAAGCCTAACATAGAATCTATTCCAGTTTTATAATTAAATTTTAGCACTTAAAGGAATTTATAATCCTGATGACCCCAAAGCCCACCTGATTAACTGTTTTTGGAAGCCTAACATTTCCTATTCCTTGCTCAGTTTTCCATGTGTTCAAACTATTTAGAAACATTTGAGGACAAAACATGAATCAGTTTTAAAAATGCCAAGCTTCTGTCTCATTTCTAGGGATTTAAGCATTTTTGCCCTTGAGGTTGTTATTTTTATATCATTTTAGTAGCATAATTAACATATATATGGTCATTGTATACAAATTAGGAAATGCAAATACAGATAATAAAAATACTTCACATACCCTGAAAGCCTATTACCCTGAGAAGCTATTAACTTCTTAGTATATATTCTTGCAGGTAATAAAATTATTCCTATAAATAAGCATTGTTGGCAGAAATGGGCCATTCTAAGCAAATGCTTTTTCTCTTCAACAATGTATTGTCAATGCTCCATGATAGCAAATGCCCTCCTAGATTGTCATCATTAAACCTGCCAAATAGTCCATTAAATGTAATTATTTAAGGAGTGCTGGTGGCATAGTGGTTAAAGCACTCTGCTATTAACCAAAAGGTCAATTTGAACCCATCAGCTGCTGTGCACGAGAAAAATGAGACGGTCTGCTTCCATAAAGACTTACAGCATTACAACCCCCATGGAGCAGTTCTCCTCTGACCTGTGGACTGTCTGTGAGCTGGAATTAGCTCTGCAGTGGGGATGAGGTGGAGTTGGATTGCTTCTCTTGGTTATAATTTCATTAGCTATTTTTAATTATGGAAGCCTTTCAGATAGTTCCTGTTTGCTTGCTATTTTGTCTTGAAGTTTATTTTAATGGAAATGAAAAGGAGTAGTCATTTCAATCTGTGTCTTTACACCCTTATCCAAATCTTGTTGAATTGGAAAAATAAATTCCTTAGGGTGAGTACTTAAATCACATCACGTTATGCTCTTAAATAGGCTCTGTTGATCAGTGCTCATTTGGGACTAACTAAAGGTAAAATGTGAATTTGTGAGGATCAAAGACTTCCTGGCCTACTTCGAATCTAAGTTTCATTGAAGTAAAATTCATCTGCAGTGAAAGAGTTGGCTAAATGGTTAACCTCATGTTGCCTATGGACCTGTATCAGTCGCTGCCACTGTGGTAACCCACTGTTACCTTCATAGCCTGCTGTTGTGCTTACTTAAATCATTTCCTTGGTTCTTTTCAATGCATGCCTGTTGTTTTTCTTACACATATTCCTTTACTTCTACATGCTTATAGACCTGTAACTTCTTTGAAAATAGACTTTAGTATATTTTATGAAACAACAAGAGGTTCTCTTCCAGTTTTTACTTTCAAAACCATATTCTTTCTTAACAATCTTACCTATTCTGCTAAGAAGTATCAAGGCAAAGAAGAAAACTCAGATGTTCCTTGCAGGAAACGTAAGGTCTTACATCTTGTTTCCCAGTGGATTGCTCTGTACAAAGACTGGCTGCATGAAGATGAGCATTCAAAAATGTTTTTAAAGGTAAGGTAAGACTTCTTGATAGTCTTGATGACAAATGGTTTTATTTTCAGTGATGCATTTCAAAAATTTTACACTTGTAGATAAGTCACTCAGCCCTTTGGTAACATTCAAAATATCATTTTTTTATTAATTTTAATGAACATTTACAGAGATTTTGGATTTCCATTTGGATTTGCACTTTTCTCCCTGCCCAACCCTCCCCTCCAGTTCGCGCCTCTCTTTGAAAAGTTAAAAGAAATATTCCTTCATTGGTACACAATACCCCCGTCCGTCCGTCCCTACCCCCACCCCAAGTACACTTCACCATGCAACCTTCATTCTGGACTTTTGTGATAACCACAATGCCCAACCATATATTGCCTTTAATCTGTTTTTTCCCCGCATCTGTTTAAATATAGTATACATAATTTATCCAGTTTTTCTCAGTCTTACTACAATCCTGATGTCAGCCCCATTCTACAACAGTGGCACTATGCAGTATTTGTCCCTTTGTGACTGAGATATTTCACTCAGAACAATGTCCTCCAGGGTCACCCATTTTGAGTAATATTGCATGAGTTCCTTGTTTTTCAACGCAGCGTAGAATTCCATTGTGTGAATGTACCACAGCTTCTCTATCCATTCGTTTGTTGATGGGCACTTAAGTTGCCTCCAACTCCTTGCTACTGTGAACAAGGTACGATAAACATGGGTGTGCATCAAGACTTGAAATTGATCACTGAAGCCTGATATTTCTTATGTAGATAAAAATCACTGTAGGCTGATATTTCTTGCATAGATAAAAACTTAATTTTAAAAATTTTTAATTTTATTAATAAATAGCATACAGGCAAATTTTAAACATTGCATATTAATTTTCATGTTACTTTTTAGAATATACACAGCAAAACATTTACCAATTCTACTATATTAGTAGAATTCAACTGTGTGTAGAATTCATTGACACTGATTGCTTTCCTCAAGTTGACACCCTCCTTTCCTTAATTATTTATCCCATTAAGATAAACTCTACCCCTAAGTTACTATTTAATTGTTTTAGTTACTGTAGTAAAATTTACTATCATATAAAGAAGCACACTACTCAACATTCTTTACTAACGAGTTAAGCTAAACAATTAGTTGGTTTTAAGCCGACTTTAGAAAATATTTTTGGTTTAAAGTTTAAATATTATGTTATCTAGTAGTAATAGAGGTTCATCCAGTCTCCATTGCTCCAGAAAGTCATGACCCTATCCTGTTGTCTTGGTTTCATAGCAAAATAGCAAGCTGTTCATGGAGGCAATTAGTCAGTCATATGTTACACTGGCAGAAGGAAAAGGTTGTTCAAAAGTCATAAGAATTTTGATTATACATTAAATTTTATATTTTGATTGTTGTTGTTGTTAGGTGCCATCAAGTCATACACGACTCATAGCGACACTGTGAACGAAAGGCCTGAGCACTGTTCATAGAGTTTCCAGAGGCAAGCCATTTTGGAAGTGGATGCCACACCTGCTTCCAGGCTTTTTTTAATCAGGAAGCCCCAGCGAACACTGTCCACCATGGGTAACCATTATCACATTTGATACATCAGTGTCACAGTGTTCAGCATCACAGCAACCACGAGTTACCTCTGTACAGCAATGCACAGATAAGAGCTATACCACCTAGAAGAATGTTTGACAGAAAAACAATTTGAACAAGGCCTGAGGACCACAGATTAAAATCACCCACATTGATTAGAAATGAAATAATTTTGATTATACATTAAAAACTAAAGCATACTTCAAAGCTTGATAGTCTTTAATATATTAATTTAGAAATTTGGCATATTAGTTTCTTTTGCATTAGCTCCCTGTCATGATAGTCCCCATATGCATGAGGGTGAAACTGTGTTCTACAGGGTTTTCAGTGACTGATTTTCTACAAGTAGATTGCCAGGCCTTTTTCTGAGATACTACTGGGAAGATTCATACCTTCACCCTTTCTGTTAACAGCCAAGAACATTAATGATTTGTACTACTCAGAGAGTCCAATTTGTACTAACCACAATATTTGGATTGCACATTTATTTATTATTTCAAAACTATATTGAGAAAATGTATGTGTGTGTGTGTGTAAACCATTTTCAGGACATGATGTACTTTGAAAATTGTAATCAATAGTATTTTGTTGAATAGAGAGTACCTAAATCCTTTGGAATTTAGAACAATGTGTTTCTTTTTCTAATCATTAATAGGCTTGCTATGCATTTACTCTTCAATATAGATGATTCTCTGAAGATAATAATAGTTGGATTCCTCTGGCCACTAAAGCCATATTAGGGCCTCACGTTGATGTGGAGAAGCAGCAAAATGAAATTGAAGCAAGGAAGAGCTATTTCAGAATAAGCCAGCAGCTAAACGGATTCTCCTTTTCATGAAGGAATCCACTTTGAAATCGATATTCAGTTGTCTTTTAGACAGCCTTTTCAAAGCTGTGCAAATAGCTCTCTGGCTAAATTGTTATTTTCAAGACAACTAATTACCTCTTTTTTTCTCTCAAATGATTTTATGGATATTATTAAGGGACAAGATAGGCATATACATTTCAAATAGCTGGTGAGGGGTCTCTGAGTTTCCAGCATTTCTTCCCAACAGCCTCTGAATGCTGATAGATAGAGCCTGGCAGTGAATGTGGTAAGAGATAGAACTTCAGTCAGAATAATGATAGAGCCTGGCAGTGAATGTGGACTAAGAGGTAGAACTTCACGCAGAATTTCATTGGCTCTTGCTTTAACCTCCTATATTGTCCTGATTGGGGTTTTTGTTGTCATGTACAACCAAGTCAAAATCAACTGATAGCTGACCTTCCAGTGGGTTTCCAGAGACAGTAAATCACATGGGAGGAGATTACCTCTGGAGCAGTTAGTGAATTTGAAGACAGTACCTTTGTGTTGAGAGTGCAACTCCTGACCATTAAGCCACCAGAGCTCCCTGTCTTTTTCCATGCACATGGTGGACATTGTAAGAGTCTTAATCCTTACAAAATATACTATCCATTCTTTCAGCTATATTTGTTTCTTTCTCCCAGACCATATACAGGAATGTACTAGATGATGTATATGAATATCCAATACTTGAAAAGGAATTGAAAGAATTTCAGAAGATACTTGGAATGCACCGTCGTCAGTAAGTATTTTCTTACTACAGTGACCAAAATAAAATAGCAAGCAAATGTGAAAGCGTAAGAGAATGTCTTACATGTGAAAATTGATTTTTAATGTTTTGACCCTGGGGTCATTTTAATTCCTTGCTTTTATAATAGTCAATGATTTATTTTGGTTTTATATTTAAAAATGAGTGAATACTGTATCCTAGTTATTAACCTTTTAAAGTGCTGTGTGAATGTAATGGAAATTACCTGGCTGTGACAGCCCGTGTACATAAAAACAGCTATCTAATAAACTATCATTTTAACAGTGTAAGTATTTAACCTGTAATTTTCACACTTACTCAGTAACATTAATTCTGTTAACCATGTGTGTCACCATTGCCATAAATGTTTCCGATTTTTTTCAGTCACTCTTAACTGAAACTCAAGCCCTCTTTTTACCTCGCCCCACCACTAGTCCATTATTAACACTAACCATTTTGATTTCTATGCCTTTGAGTATTCTCAATATGTCATAAGTGGGTTCATAGGTTATATAACTTTTTATGTCTAATTTGCAGTCAGTGTGTTTTCTAAATTCATTCATGCTATTTATATACAAGAACTTCATTTGTCTTTATGGTTTAATCATACTCCATGATATTTTCACCACATTTCACTTATCCACTTAGTGGATGTTTGGGTTGTTCCCACATTTTAGCATTGTGAGTAGTGCTATTGTTGTTGTTGTTGTTGATTGCCTTCTAGTCGAACACAACTTCTAGCGACCCCATGAACAAAAGGCTTGAAGCCCCTCCACAACTATCAACATTTATTAAAGTTCGTAGGGTTTCCAGAGGCATATTATTTAGGAAGTGGATGCAACTTCTACAGTGTACAAAACTGGTATTCAGGGATCTGTCTGTGCCCTATTTTTTGCCTTTTATGGTTTCAGTTAGCTTTCTTGTTTTAATTAACTTTATGGTTTTAGTTTTATATTTAGATGGTGGATACATTTTGAGTTAATTTTCATTTGAAGTATGAGTCCAGCTTGATTCTTTTACATGTGGAGATCCAATTGTCCTGGCATCATTTATTAAAGATATTATTCTTTCCCTATTGCATAGACTAGACACCAATCAATTGACCATAGTTATATAGGTTTGTAATTGGACTCTGAATTCTATTCTGTTGATCTGTATATGTAGTATTGTAACAATATCAGACTGTTCAGATTACTGTATCTCAATATAATATTTTGAAATTTGGGAGTAGCTTTTGTGTTTCATTTTCAAATTAACTTTGAGGATTCAGAGCTTATACCATTCTCATTTTGTTGAAGTTTGATTTGGCTTGTCCATCTGCAGAGAAAGTTGTTGAACTTTTGATGGAGATTATATTGAACTTATATATCCCTTTTGGTATTATTGTCATTTTAACAGTACTTAGTCTACCAATCCATAAGCATGGACTTTGTTTCAATTTATTTAAGTCTTAATTCTTTAAGCAATATTTGGTGGTTTTACGTTTCTCATCTCCATAGTTAAAATTAGCCCATGTATTTTATTCCTTTATGTGGTATAATAATAAGTGGGATTATTTTGTTAATTTTTGGTTTAGATTGTTCATTACCAGTGTATTGTAATCCAACTTGTTTCCCAGTGTTGACCTTGAAAACCTACAACTTTGCTGAATTATTAATTTTACTGTACCTGGTGACATAGTTCATGATGAGTTGTGCTGCTAAACCAAAGTTTACACCTCTCTGGCAGTTCAGATCCACCAGAGGCTCTGAAAGATGCTGCTGTTTACAGCTTAGAGAACCAATGGATGGTCAGCTATGAGTTAGTCTCTACTCCATCAGCAATTTGAGTTAATAGCCTTGATAACTTTTGTTTGGAAAATCATGGATTTCTCTATATTTAAAAAAAATTACCTATTTGGCAAATGACATGGTTAATGTCCTTTGCAAATAAATACTTTTATTTCTTATATAGTTGCTATGGCTAGGACTTTTAATATAATATTAAATAGTAACAGAAAGAGCTCTTTTCTTCCTCATATTAAGGGGAAAGTTCCTTTTTTTCTTGTAATATTTTACTGTATTTTTAATAAAATATATACACAATAAAATTTGCTCTTATTCCACAGATTGTATATATGCTGTTCAGTGACATTGGTTTTATTCATCATGTATCAAATTATTGTTACTGTTACTATTTTTCAGTCCCATAAGCTTACTCTAACTTCCCAGACTTCAAACTTCTCATCTGCACATTTAGAGTAATAGCTGCCCAACCCAGTCCAGTACGACCTAGTGCCCTCCGGCCAATGCCAACTCATAGTGACCCTCAATCATATTTCTGAGGCTGTACACCTTTATAGGTGACTGCCTCATATTTCTCCTGTTGGACAGATAGTGAATTTGAACCACCAACTTTTCTAAATAGCAAGCCAGTATATAAACACACTGTGCCACTAGAGCTTCTGATGATTGTTCATTTGCTCTTACAGAGTAGGTATTTTTAAAAAGGTATAGTATGCCAAATTGACATTCTAATTTTTTTTAACTAACCTGCTGTCCAGTTAAAAAGCAACTTCAATAGATAATTTGACTTCAAGGAAGAGGAAAGTCCTTGATATTTCTCCTTGAGTATGATATTATCTGTTAAACTGAGGAACATGCCTTCTGTTCTTACTTTGTTGACTGTTTTTATCCTGAGAGTGTTGAATTTTGTCAAATGCCTTTCCTACATCAAGTGAAATGACCCTGTGGTTCTTTGCCTTTGTTCTAAAAAAAATAAAAAATGTTCCATCAGTGATTTATTATGCTGATTGATTTTTTAATATTAATTCACCTTTATATTCCAGGGATAAATAAAAATTGATCATGATGTCTACTCCTTTTAATGTTATTTTGTATTAGGCTTGGTAGTACATTGCATCTATATTCCTTAGGGATGTATAGGTTTTCTTATGGTTTCTTAGTGTAACTTTGATATCAGGATGATTCTAGTAGCCTCATAGAATGAGTTAGGAGTGTTCTTTACTATCTTTTGGGAATATTTGAAAAGCATTGGTGTCACTTCAGTAAATTTTGGTAGCCATCTAGTCCAGAGAATTCTTCTTGCTTATGTATTTTTTAAAAGTTTTAGAAATAAGTTCTAGTCAGAGACAACCAACAACAATGACTCATGCAGCATTTTAAAAGTTCAGTTTTATGGAGTCTCTGAGATTTTTCTTTAGGAATTTAGAACCATTGAAGAAAGTCACTTACCACATGTGGAACATGGGAGAACAAAGAAATACAAGGAAACAATTAGTCCACAGGGCCAGTGGCCCATAAGAAATGCAGCCTCCCTTAGACTAAAACCTCAGGAATTAGATGATACTTGGCTACCACTAACAACCACTATGACATAGAGGGTCCTGGTTAAGATGGGTGGGGGAAAATTGAACAAAATTCAGCCAAGTAATAGATGGAAGTAGAGAAAGAAAAAAAACCAACATGAAAAATGGACTTCCAAGTAATCAATTATAAAAGACTAAAACATTTACCCAGAACAAAAGTAGAGAAGACAGGGAGGGACAGGGAAATTCTATAAATGGAAATGAGGAACTCAGAAAGGAAGTGGGGATTGAAACCAATATCATATAGCAATTTGTGTATGAGTTATTGATTGGGAAAACTAATTTCACCTAAAACATAATAAAATATTGCCAAGGGGTTGGGGAGGTCATTTACTCAATGACCGTTGGCATGTCCAAGTATTCCCTAGGTATCTACCATTAATCTTTTATATGGACAGTATTTGACTTTTCTATGGTTTTACCACTATTACACCATACTAATTTCAGTAAAAGGAAAAACGTAAATTACTATTCCATTTTTAGACGTAAGTGCATATTTAAACTGAGAGAAAGTATTTTTTTTATTTTTAATGTCATTTCTGTTTAGTAAACATGACATACACCATGAGCTACTTCAGTTAAGATTTCAGCAGTCACAAGTGGGCTTCACATAGTAAACATTGATTCAGGCCTTTCAGAATATTGATTTTTCAAATAAAATGTTTATAGGAATAAATAATTTGTAAATTTAGTTCTCAATCTTCAAAATTGTGCAGTTAGAAATTCAGATGTCAGGGTTACGTTTTGGCAATGTGTTAGGATTAAATACTAATTATAGCCTACACTATAAAAAACTTACATAGTCCAAGCCTAATACGAAAATATGACCACGTAAGTGACAAAAAAGGAAAAAAAGAAAGGTAACCTTTACATTAAAAAAAAAAATCCTTATGTGGTTGTTGCTATATGTTGTGAGATTGACTTATTTAGAAAACTTAGTTTATAATTTAATACATTAATGAGATATATTAATACTCTCCATACATTCCATTACAGGAATACATTTTAAGTGAGAAAGAATAGACTAAAATAAGGAAATGATGTCAAGCATAATCTACATTTTTTATTATAAAATTATGAAATAATAACTTTTGGTACTGAAGTAAGAATTGCACTCCATTGCTAGGCTCTTCACAGTATTTTCTAATCCCAATCTACCAATAGAGGAAGTTGTTCTGTTCTGAAAACAATGCTGGCATCTTTTGCTTGACTATCAGTGTGACCAGCTTGCCACCATGCCGGTCCCTTCATGCACAGATTTGTCATGCAGAAGACATGTTGAAGTCTCTACATGGTCAGAAACAGGGACCTAAAAAACTGTTCCCACTTGTACAACATAGAAGAACATCCATGAAAAGATGCAGCTTAATTGAATAGCTGTCTGGAAGGAAATAATTTCACTTTAGTCCTGTCAGAGGATAAGAAAAGTTTCTGTGGGCCAGATAAGTCCACTTCGCCCTTTAATATTCCACTTTACTTTCTATGGGTAGAAAGCAAAACATCCTTGTTGAATAAATACCTTCATTTCTTCTTGATTCATTTGTAATTCAGAACCTATTGCCATATGTGTTGCATTTGAGAATAATGAATATTCTGTTTTCACTTTCTTAAGAGCAAAAGCCTTAGCCTAATATGAAAATTTGGCTTTGAGTCCTCCTTAAACCACCAAAATAAACCCTGTGATTCTGAGTTTGGGATGAAGACTGACTTCTGGTCTTTTTCCTTTCAGCACTGTCGATGAATATTCCCCACAGAGGAAGGTAAGTAAGCCAGATCTCTGGGCATCTTTATCTGAAAGAGAGTGATACAGTATGGAGACTGGGTATGGCCTTACTTGGCATGTCTTCAGGATATAATGAGTACTGCCTCCTTCAGGCAAAGCAGGACCAGATGCACAAGTCACACTGCAGCTTCCTGTCGTTCCTACTTCACTTCCCTATGCTGGTGCAAATCTCCTTTTAACCATGTGCCCTGACTTCATGACATTCTGCAGAATCCAGAGTGATAGAAATTTAAATTTTAAAACATTTATTGTGGGGGTAGGGGAAGAAATCAAGCAAAAATCTTGAGTCCAAGAACAAGAAAGTTGTTGTTGTTGTTGTTGTTGTTGTTGTCGTCGTCGTTATGTGCCATAGAGCCGCTTGCGACTCATAGCGACCCTATGTACAACAGCCCTAAACTCCACTCTGTCCTGTGCCAATCGCACTGTCTCTGACACTCCCATCCCAATTATCCCAGTCACTGAATCAATCCACCTCATAGAGGGCCTTCCCCTCCTGCGCTGTCCCTCCACCCTCCCAAGCATGATGGCATGATGTCCCTTTCTAAGGACCGGTCTCTCCTCACAACATGTCCAAAATATGTTAGACGGAGCCTCAGAATCCTTGCCTCCAAGGAGCCACCCAGTTTAACCCTTTCGAGGACAAATCTGTTTGTTTTCCTAGCAGTCCATGGTATTCTCAATACTCTTCTCCAGCACCACAGCTCAAAGGCATCAATTCTCCTTCTATCCTCCTTGGTCATTATCCAACTCTCTGATGCATAACAAGTGATTGCGAAGACCATGGCCTGTGTCAGACACACCTTAGTCTCCAAAGAGACACCATTGCTCTTCAGTACTTTGGAGAGGTCCCTAACAGCAGACTTTCCCATGGCAATGCGCCTTTTAAGTTCCTGGCTGCTGGTGCCAAGACTGTTGACTGTAAAGCCAAGCAAACTAACGCTGTGTACAATCTCAATCTCTTCACCATCCATCCTGATGCTGCCGATTGGTCCAGTGGTGAGAATCTTTGTCTTCTTGACATTGAGCCTCAATCCATATTGTAGGCTGCAGTCCTTGACGCTCTGCAGCAGGTGCTTCAGGTCCTCTTCAGTTTCAGCAAGGAAGGTTGTGTCATGTGCATAACGCAGATTGTTGATGAATTGTCCACCAATCTTAACCCCACATTTCTCCTCATAGAGTCCAGCCTCCTGGATAATCTGTTCTGCATATAGGTTGAAAAGGTATGGAGATAGGATGCCCTTCCCAATTTTGAACATAGTTTGCACCTTAGCAAGTTAGAAAGACATGGTAGCAAAACATGAATTAATGTTTTTGTTCGAATTGATTGGGGTCGGGGGGGGGTGGAGAATACAAAATGAGAGATATCAGCCATAAAGTTTTGTAGAGACTGATATATCAGGTGAACAATCATACAGAATAATGAACCTACTTCCTGAATGAACGAACTAGAGCAGAAGTAAGAAATATACATCTTAGAGTTGCTTCTGCAAAAATGGTAGGAGGCAGAAAGTCAGATTGGGATAACTACCTGAAAAGTTGATGCTGGGGTAGGAAAATGACATTAATCTTGGATTACAGTTAGGAAATATGTAGTAGGTAGAGGTGGAAAACTGTGTACCTATTGTCCAGCATATTGTCAGCATGATTATTAGAGTTTCTTGCCTTCTACTGACCATGACCAAGGACTGCCACATTGCACACAACCTCCACTTCCACTTGCATCAGCAGCTCCCAGTTTTATTTCTCCAGGATTGGATGGGTGGATATCTTATTTTTAAAAATTGGCTAGCTTTCTTGGAACATGTTATAAACAGCTGTGGTTTTTCTAAAAAGCGGCAGTACATTCATTCATTGTTCCCTTTCCCCTCTTCTCACAGAATAAAGCCCTTTTCCACCAATTCAGTCTTAAGGAGAATTGGCTTCAGCACAGAGGAACTGTGACGGAAACAGAGGAAAGTGAGTATGATTTTAAGTGAGATTTGATGTAGGAGGAGTAGCAGTTAAGAACCCTCATTGTCCAGTGTTAATATAAGTCTGTGCCTTTAACCAGCAACAGCATACTCCTCTAGCAAGCGCATCAGTGCCAGATGTGATGTTTTTCTTTCCATGGATTGAGTGGCATACTTTTCTTAGATCGTATTATATGCATTAGTGGCAAGGATGATGATATTTCATCTCACATCCTTTGGGCACCTTGTTAGGAAAGGCTCGTCCTTAGAAAAGGACATTAAGCTTAGAAAAGTGGAGGGTCAGCAAAAGAGAGGAAGAGCTTCAACAAGATGTACTGACACAGACCTGGATCTGTGGGCCAAATATATCAGAGATGATGAGGATGGCACAAGACAGGGCAGGGTTGAGATCCATTATTTATTAGGTCGCTATGATTCATAGCCAACTTGATAACATCTAACAACAATAGTATATTATCATTGGAAAAGGATATTGTGTTTAACAGAGTTGAGGGTGGGTCTTCAAGAATGAGGGAAGAATCTATGAGATGGGTTGATATGTGGTTATAATGAGCTTAAATTTACCAAAGATTGTGAAGATGGCACAAGACCAAGCAATGTTCAGCATAAAGATGCCCCGAATTGGAGCTGACTGCATGGCAACTAACTAAAAGAAGGTCAAAGGTACTTTCCATTTGAAAAGTAAGGAAACTGCAGAGAACAAGTCTGGACCAGAAGTGCAAAATGGACTGGAGGCTCAACTTTATTCTTCTAAGACATTTTCTCCCTGATTCTGTCAGCCTGTGAATCCCTGGAAATGTTTCTAAAGCAAATGGGTATAGCTAGTCCCTTACATTTAAAGTGGAATACTTTGGAAAGAACCCTTCTTGTAAAGAAGGTTTTATGGTAAAATTCCTCCAAGACCAGGTCCACAGGCAGAGTCCAGCAATCAGTATTCGTTAGTGTGGATGAGGCTCCTGACCTCCCTGAGAAGACTGCTAATCCAGTCCCAGGGGAAGCGTCTTTTTAACACCCTGAAGATGATGACATGCTTTCTCTACATGAGCATTTTCTAATGGTAGTTAGTGATTTCCTCCTGTTTAGGTTAAAGGTTGACTCAAGTGCAGAGCCAGGAAACACAGCATATTAGAAATGTTCCCACTATTGTGACTGAAAGTTTCTCTTTTAACTTTACTTTCTCCTTGTGCTGAACTTCCACATATGAAAATAGCTCTCATTTCTTGAGCATTTAGAAGGCAAAATGTTACAAGGACGTCTCTTTCTGTGATACAGTGTTGGTATATAATCAACAAGACGAGCTCAGTCTCTGTGGTGGCATATTAACTATCTCCACGAAGAGAAAGAGCAAATGCAATTATCATACTTCCTAATTCGTTAGTTGCCGACCTTCCTTGCCCGTTTTTATTATAATTTAATTATATCATTTTCCAAGCTGAGCTTCAAAGACACAGAGTGCTTTCACAACCCCTAGCATCCTTTTGTTCATTTTATTAAGCAGACTTACCTCCCATCTAATGTTTTGTAGGCTATCTTTTTCTTTGCTCAGAAAGTCCATTTTCTAAGGAAAGATGTAAAAGTATGTCTTTCACAAATCTATTGTCAAAATATGAAATAGTTAGATGCTGCTGTTTTAATGACATAGCTAACCAAGCCAGCCTGAATAATATCTTTGTCTCTTGATGAGGTGTTTACTTTGAATCTCTGGAGTCTCCAGTCATAGTTTGCTTCTTGTGTCATTAGCATTCTGTGCAAACCTCCCTGGATTTATTTTTGGTGCCATCTAGCTTACATATGGCATTTCTCCAGGAGTTAGACTCTATTAGTGTTATTTGCAATGTCAAAACCAAGAACTTGTATTTTATTATCCTTCTACCTATTCTAAAGAACCGAAGTTTTAGAAATTCAGAGTATTTAAGAAGCAAATATGTCAGTCATCACCATTGCTAATAAAATAGCTTTTGCTATTCAAATCATACAGAAAAAAAAATGTTCAAAGACCCTTTCACCCTGATAGTGGTAATAACCTACTAATAATTATTATCACCATAGATTATAAAAAGGAAATTAAAAAGGCTAACCATGTGACTTCCATCTGGAAACTCCTCTCGCCACCACCTGATCTAGGGACTCATTGTTAAATCGTTAAGATGACTGCATATGAAAAGTAAAGCAGGCAGTGGATTTTTAGATAAGCTTAGGAGAATTCTAATAGAAAAATGGGATGTCCTTGATTGAAACACAGTAACTATTCAGATATTTCATATGTGAAATACAGTCCAGTGTAAAATGAAAACAATGTATTTGCATTTTGTAAATAACTAGTAGAAAATTGGGGGAAAGGTTGGGCAGGGAGAAAAATGCAACAGAGAATGAATGGAAATCCAAAGTGTCTGTAAACTTTCATTTAAATTTTAAAAAGAAATAAAAAATAAACTAGTAGAAAATTTTAAAAACCACACACATTAGATGTACAGGAAAAAAATTAGGAGTGCGTTTATTTAAAAGTAGAATGCTTGTTCGTACCATTGATTCCACTCTATTTTGGTCAGGTTGCGTCCAACATGAACTCACTCTTGCATAATGTATCTTTAATGATACAGAATACCAAGGTACACAGTTTGAATCCACCAGATGCTCTGCTGGGGAAGGAGGGGCAATGTCCTCCTCTACCAGTCAGATCCGATATGACAGTACACACACACACACACAACTACACAGAGTACCTAAAAAGTATTCACTTGTTCACCAGCTTTACAACTTCTCAGTCTCATGTGTGCTGAAGTCCACATTTATATGCCTATACCCTGAGGCACTGGTATGCATATATAAATATGTAAGTAAAGCTGTGTATTTTTTCTCTTAAAAGGAATGGCAAGGTGAAGGCCTTGATATGAAAAGTCTTTCTTTTTGACCACTGTTCTCTGTTGACTAACAGTTCTCTTGATTTGCAGTTTTTTGCCACGTGTACATAACTGAGCACTCCTACGTTAGTGTGAAGGCGAAAGTTTCCACAACAGCCCAGGAGATCCTGAAAATCGTTGCAGAAAAGATCCAGCATGCAGAGGAAGACCTGGCTCTGGTGGCCATCACATTTTCTGGGGGTAAATGATGTTCTGTCGTCAAATAGTAATCTTTTACTGATTGCCTCCGGAAGGAGAGCGTTGACATTTTTGCAGAGTGAAAACGTGCAGCTTCGTTCCTTCTGAGTCCGCAGCTGGCTGACCATAGTAACAATAAGATGCTGCCAACCAGAAGTGTTTCCATGACAACAGTTAGGTTTGCTGGATACTGAATTTCCTCCACAAGAACTGAACGGAGAGGCACGCTAGTGTTTTGAAATACATTATAAAGCTTCTCATATTTTGTTCTCCCGATAAGCCTCCTATTTTCATATTTAAATTAACTTGAGAAATGGCTAAAAGATGAAATTACTTTAGGACAAAAAGGAAACACAGGCTTGAACTAGTCATACTGCCGGCTGACAATTTAATAGTTAAAGACTTCCTGTTGAGAGGAATAAAAACTATGCAATAAGCTAAAAGCTTACAGGCTGTGTTCCTTCAGATGGATGCGGGGAGTGAGACCCTGATACAGCTTTTTTTTTCTCTCTCTCTCTTAGGCTTTCTATATCCTCAGAGAATAGTTTATTGTCTGTTTTGAATAAGATTGCAGATTACAGGCTGACATTATTGACCTAGGTGACCTATAGAGACCCCTTCTTTTTCAAGATAGCCTGTCAGGTTTCAGTGTAATGCCTCCTTTTTTTTCTTGGCTTACAATCTTTATTTAATGTATCATTAACCCTGAGAAAATTTTTTAGAAATGTCTCAGCATCTTAATATTTGAAAAATGAGAGGCTGTGTGGACCAATCAACCAGAGATGGGGGTGGAGCAGAATTTCCTACAAACTCCCTTTTCCAACTGTACCCAGGGTATAGGTGTAGGGCAGATGGTGTCAGAAGATAGTGGGCCTTAAAATACTATGTGACAGATACCGTTTCTCTTACTTTGCTACGCAGAGACAAGTAAGAGAGCTCTACAAAGCAGTTGATTACCTATGCAACCAGATACAGTCCTTCTCCCTGGACTTAGAAATGAGAGTGTGTGCTCGCTACCATCAACTTCTCCCTGTTCACCTTCCCCTACACCCAATTAAAGTATTTTTCTGGGAAAAGGAGAGCTAATTCGTGTGGACTGAGTTACTTTTAGTCAGAAAAAAGAGTTGATTTTTTTTAATTTAAAATTTTAGCTTTTTCAGATAGACTTGAGTGACTGAAATGATTTTGATTAATGTTAAAATGGTGGTATATGCCGTCGAGTTGGAACCAGCTCGTAGGCTGATCTCCCAGAGGCTTTTCAGACACTGTAAATTGTTGCATCAGAGGAGTTTGCCCATCTTTCACCCTTAGAGCAGCTGCTGGATTCACACTGCCTGCTTTTTGAATAATGTTAAGCGTCATAAAACCCTACATTTGCCCGTCAAGGTGATAATCACTATAGAAAGTCCTCATTGGGACCCCATTCTGACAGAGGGTGCGGGGGGAGGGAGTACTGTGAAGGCCAGCACGATGGGAGGACACTCCCACTGGACTCGATTCCTTCAGGCCAGCTACTCTCCACCCTGTCAGTTACTGAGGAGCTCGTACTCCCCAATATCTCTTTGAGACTCTGAGAAATCATTTTCACATTCTCATTAAATTAGCTCCATTAAAGTCGACAATGGCATCTAATACATATAGAATCATTGCTAATTATCACGAGAAATATTAGCTCGTCTCTTGAATTATCCCAGATTTGAAAATGTGCCATCATTTTCTACTCATTGCTATTTTTTTTTCTTTTTAAGAACTTTTCAGCCTGACTCTTGTTATTCTTCAACTATGTTTTTACTAAAAAAAAAAAACCTACAGAGCTTATTAATGCGTTTCTTGTTAGTTACCTACTTTTCAATAAATAATGTTTTCATGCTACTTGAAAATGAAATGGCAACAAGATGTACTGCTCTTATTTTCAAACAAAGTGTGGGAGGTTTGGTAGCTGTCGGTAACAGGACAGATACCGTGTGCCTCACGGCTGTCAGTAAGCATGGAACCCTTTTACACCAGGTGGTGGTGGTGGTTGGGTGCCCTCGAGCCAGCTGTAACTCACAGCCCTCACCTGCATCATCCTCACTACTGCTGCCATTCTTGAGCCCACTCTTCTAGTCCCTGTGTCATCCCATCCGGTTGGCAGTCGGCCTCTCTTTCACTGACCGCCCCCCCCACCCCCCACCTTGCCAGCATTAGGTCTCTCTCTAAGGACTGGTTCCTCCTGAGAAGATGCCCAGAGTAAGTGAGGCAAGTTTCACTATCCTTGCCTCTAAGGCAGACACTGGTCTACTTCCTTCAAGACAGATTTTTTAAAAATAATTTAATAAGTATTTTTTATTGTGATTTTAATGAATGTTTACAGAAAACTTGGGTTTCCATTTATTCATTGTAGTACATTTTCCTCCCTACCCTCCCCAAGTTCACTTTTCTCTTAAAAAATTATTAATTGTTGAACAACTTCCTCTTCCCCCCGACCCCCACCATTCCACTTTGCTATGAACCTCTTATTCTGGACCGTTGTTATGCAGATGATGCCTAAAGAGATAACTATTTTAAATAGTTCTTTCCCTCATCTATTTCATTGCAGTCTTCATTATTTATCCCCCCTTTTCTCAGGGTACCCCCAACCCCATGTCATTCCTGCTCTACAACAGTGGCATTATATTTCACTCAATATAATGTCAAGACAGTTTTTTTTTAAAGTCTAGTATTAATCACCAACATCCAGTTCAAAGGCATCAATGCTTCTGTCTTTATTATTCATTGTTCAACTTTAAGAAGCATAGGAAGAAATTGAAAATATCATGGCTTAGAGCAGGCACACCTTAGTAAAAAACCCTGGGAATAGGGGTGTGTGTGTGTGTGTATAAAATAGTAATCTACACATTGATTCAGGGAGCTCTTGTGGCTTGGTGGTAGATGGTTTCAATCCACCAGCTGCTCTGGGAGAAAAAGATGGGCAGTCTCTTCCTATACAATTTACTGTCTTTGAAAACCCACTGGAGGGTCAGCTAAGACCAGTTCTGACTCACTAGTACAGAACAACAACAACACATTGATTCATAAGCTAAAATTCCCTTAGGTTTAATATTTTAAATAACAGTGGTAAACTCTAAAAGAAAGGAAATCAAATTTTTGGCAAATAGGAAAAATGCTGTAGAAAAAGCCATGAGAGTTTACTCTGTAGCTTCTGTAGATGGCCTTTCGTACATTCAGACTTGAATGAAGCAGGGGAAAGTAGTTAAACAAAGGAGGGAGGGGATGGAGCATGTTAGAGCCCAGCAGTGTGCTACCATTTACTATCCACGTCAGCAGCTCAACGCTGTAGTGCTATTGATCTTTATAATGCTGGGCCATAAAGAATATATTAGATTACCATTTGTGCTCTCTGTATTTAGCAAGAAAGATGTCCATCAGAAATGTTCTAAATAAAATTTGGTGTTTGAACTGATTGAGTTATCTGGGAAGAGGTATGTGGAGTATTGCACTGTCCAATCCTGCTAAATGATTGAAGGGCAGCCCAAGCTGAATTTGATTATCAACAGCAGGATAGACTTCACCATGACTTCAGTCCATCCCCATGCACATTCTGTAGTTGTGATGAGGAGGACATTTTCCAAGGAAGGACACTACTGTGTTCTATAAAAGACTTCCAGCTGTAGTAGAAAACTAGTCAGAAGAGAAGAACAGTTTTGCAGTAGATGAGATAGAAATGAAAAAAAAAATATTCAGCTTCATTAGCAATCAAGCAGAGAATCTATTTTTTATTGTAAACGTATAGATAACACAACATTTTCCATTTACACATTTTCTCATCTGTAGTTCAGCAGTACTAATTGTATCACATTGTGCAGCCATCACCAATATCCATTGCCACATTCCACACCATCAAAAACAGAAATTCGGTGCTTCCCAGTATTCCTCCTCCTTTTCCACTTCTTCCCACTTTTGGTGGTTATTCTTGTTTGTGTTGAGTCTGAACCAACCCATAGCTTACCCTACAGCAGATTTTCAGAGGCAGCAAATTGCAGGGGAGGAGATTGCCCATCCTTCTCCCACAGAGCAGCTGGTGGATTTGAACCATCGCAACTTCTAGTCACTATGCTGCCACTGTCCTCTGTACATTTGCCTATGAGAATCTGGATTTGGTTTTAGCAAAAATAATGACCAATGTTGATCTCTACCATTTCTACTCATATTTCAAAGAAAATAATAACTGAAAAATAAAACCTTTTAAAAAATTCAATTTGTGTGGAAACATTTAGAAATATTTATCCCCATTGGCATTGTAATTCTACTACTTGGGATCTGTCTTAAAGAAATCTTCTATAAGCAGACAAAGATTTATACACAAGGCTGTGCACTTCAGCAGTATACATCATTGCTACTGTAAGAATAGATCTCATTTATCAAGCCCCTGTTATGTGCCAGACCCTGTGCTTGTTCTTAGCATATATCATGCAATTGAGTTTATATAATCAAAGCGATTTGAAACTACTACACATTCAGCAATAGAGGAATGATTAAATAATGATGTGGTTAACTCTTGTATAGCCAATTTAACATGACATATACATCTTTTAGTAAAGGCTAAGTGCTTATAACAAAATCATAATATAAAACCATATGCATAGAATGACTGCAAATTAATACAAATGTATCTATGTGTATATGTGATAATTCTATGTGCAGACAAAAAAATCACAAATATGCATTTATTTGTCTGGTTTTCTGTTTGCTGTTGTCATATACTATTGAGTTGTGTTGTTTTAATATTTTATGGAACAAACTCAAGGCTGACCCTCCATGAGATTTCAAAAGCAATAAATTGCAAAGGAGGAGATTGCCCATCTTTATCCCACACCACAGCTGCTGTCTTTGAATTGTGTGCCTTTGAGTTAGTAGTGCATACTGTATATATGTTGTTTAGTATTCACTTTAGTGGCAAGAAGCTGCACTGCAATCCCAAAGGCATGTGGTTCGAGTCCACCATGTGAGAAGGATGGACAGTCTTCTCCCATATGATTAACTGCCTCTGATAACCCTCTGGAGGGTCACCTATGTCAGTTCTGACTCGATGGTACACAACAACAATAATATAGGTATGTACAATAAAATAAGGTGTATACATATTACTATGTGTATATATACGTAGATAGATAAAGATAAATAAACAAAAACTTAAGGAATACTAAAATTCATCATAATCCCATCACTCTAAAAACACTGATAACACTTTGGTGATCAGATAGATAGATAGATAGATAGATAGATAGATAGATATTCATTTTCCTTAAGTTTTTGTTCTGTTCTCTAGAGAACTGAATTTTATAAGCAAATTCCAGAAGTTTACCCTTAAAGGTGCTGAGCAGTGAAGTTCATGATCCCACTGGTGTCATTGCTTACAGTGTGCAGAATCCACTTAAATCCCATTTACTTTTAATGGGTTTGTGGGTTTGTTTTTTTTTTCCATTTGGCAAGCTTTACCCTGTTGGGGTACTATATAGACCTACAGCTATTCTTATGTTCCTAATTATGTTATCTCTTCTCTTTTCTTTATAAAGAAAAGCATGAACTTCAGCCAAATGACTTGGCCATCTCCAAATCTCTTGAGGCGTCTGTTCGAATATATGTCTACCGGAAAGACCTGGCTGACACTTTGGTAAGGGCATCTTAGTACTTGAAAAAAACATACAACATTGTTAAACTCAATGCTTTAGCCAAGGATTCACTTACCAAATAACTCTACCTTATAAATCAACAAGAGGTCCAAGCTTGGGAAGCCTTATCCCCTAGTAAGTTAAACCTTGCTGTGAGACAACTGATTGGAGGCCAGTGAATCTTCCTGTGAATTTTTGCCTCCATCTTTTCACTGACTAGGCTGAAAAATGCACACTGGGCAGAATTCCAGGGGAAAGACTCTATATCCCTTCTTTTTGTATATTTGGTACATTTTAAATGCTTCATTCCCTTGAAGAAAGGGCCAACCCTGTACAAGATAGATCATTGCCATAAGGCATCCATCTGTTGTCACTGAAGGGTAAAAGTTGGAAAGAAATGTGGAACCTACAGTGTAAGTTATTTTCCATTCTTAGTTTAAGAACATATAGAAGTAAGTTGTTGATTTTTTTTCTTGTTGTTCGTGAAGACCTCCATCTTATTATGGTAGGTCCAGTTCTCATAGCTTGTTATGCACCCGTCCGGACTCTTGGACCTTAACTCTTCATTGGGTCATCACCGGGACCATCTTCCTATTGGGATCAAAATGGAGGGTTATTTATAGCACATCCAAAACCTCCTGCTCGCAAGGACAGCATCCATGTCATATTATTTACAGAATATCAAGCTAACATAATAATACTAATCACTGTCATTTTTCATACTTGCAAGACATGTATCTGCTGAATCTTGTACACACAGAATCATCTCTTAGTGCTGGCAGGAACTACATGAGGTGTGAAGAAGTTGAATAATTTACTTAACATTATATGGCTGGAGAAGGGCCAGAACCAGCCTTTAAATCCACTTATGTTTGACTCTGAACCCCTTATTCATTTCTTTCTTTAGGAGATGAGAAGGCAGAAAAAGAGAGAGCAACACTAGATTTTTTCCGTTCTAAAGGTCCTTTGGCAGGTTCCATGTCTTTATGTTCATTCAACTTGTAAATCCATTAGTGAAACATTATAAACTGAGTGCTTCACGTCATCTATGTGTAAATAATAAGATTCATTTTACCTCTTCCCCTGAAGGAGAGATTTAATTCATAGCTAGCACGGGGCTCTTGGCAATGGAGGATCTGCATTCTAACTGTTTACCCCTCCCCTCCCATGCTGTGCTGACTTCTGCAGTTCCCGCGTATGCTTTCCTAGCATGTTCTCCTACTGCTATCCGGCCAAGTCAGTGTGTTCATGGAACTAATGAGTGCCTTTCACATGTGTTTCCTGGAAGCCCTACTCCAGCCCATCTTACCTTGGACAGCAGCTCAAATTTCTCCATTGGAAATGCCTTTAGTTATTTCATCTCCAGGAAGATTTCCATTAAAATGCAGATGGTGTAAGGAAAGGATAGCACGTTTGACCACAGTCACCCACTAAATATGGGAACATGGGTATCTCAGTGAGAGAGGCCTCACCTTACTTGTGACAGACCCAAGTTCCATGCCTGGCACAACTGTTTCACAATTGTAAAATGCCTGAAATGAAAAGAATTTATTTTGTAGTTTAAAAAGACATTTTGAGTAGTATTTTGAGGTAGATATACTTTGTCATTCATTTGGACAAAGTCACATTCTTCTTGTTTTTAAGAAGCCATCATTAACTATTCAAGTCTAAAGCATTGAAACCCTTCAAATAGGGAATTTATATTTTCATTAGCAGATGTCAAATGTTTTGGAAGGAGGCCAAATAATTTTAATAGCTTTCACAATAGATAAATGCTATCATGGCATTCAATAAATTCATGCCGGATTTTACAGAATATTGTTTAACTCCTAACAGACCCCATTTATGTGTATGTAAAAGCAGTCAAGAGTCATCAAATACAAATAAAATAATCTTTCTTTTCCCCCACATGTTTAAATGTTGTCACTTTGCAAGGACATTTTAATAAAATTTGTAAATGTATGTCTAGGATGAGACCTGTTAATCATATTTCCTGTAAAAGCCGTGTCGGTCTTTATTGAAGTGTTCCATGACATTCCTTTTGTTTGTTTTTATACTAACCCTCGTGGCACATTAATTCGTACCAGAAGCCAAAGTGATTCCAGGGCCTTCCCTTTCATTCTGCTGTGTTCCAGGGCAGTGCAGGGTTTGGTAATCAGATGGAGGGTGGGAGGGTGGAGGGAGGCATCTGGGGGAGGGGCAGGCCAAATCAGTGAAGTGTCATTGATCAAATTCTTCTGTTTCCAAGGCCCTTTCCTAAATTGGCTGCAACTCACTGAAGGTGAACAAAACAGAGGCACTATTAAGTGCACTCAGAAAAGATTACTTTTCTAATCTGGGCTTCTAGTGCCTTTTCTGTGGCTAGCCAATTCAGTGCAAAACATTTGGGAATTACTGAAGGATCCCTTTGTTTCTGTCTGTTGGTTTAGAATCCATTTGCAGAAAATGAGGAATCACAGCAAAGGTCGATGAGGATTTTGGGAATGAACACTTGGGATCTTGCCCTGGAATTGATGAATTTTGATTGGAGTCTATTTAATGCAATCCACGAGGTAAGTAGAGAGTAGAAAGATAAAACAAATGCTAATGCTGTTTCAAATGCAAAGTCTTTTTGAAGAATATTATATGGGTGTCTGAGTGTTAAAGAGAAATTCCATCATTTGGTTGACAAAGTTTTGCAGGGTTAGAGTCCACCAAGATATGTAGAAATTTTAATTATTTTGAAAGATTGACCCAGTCTAGAAAAATCAAATACCTTTATTTCATGCTTTATTTGTTCTTACTGAATTTTTGTGTATATTCTTTTCTAACTATATATATTTCCTGTGCTCTATTCTTACATTCATATACATATACATACACGTATTTGCACATATATGTACGTAAATGCTCATACGTGTAAAGCTCTAATGGGGTTGAAGAACTGTTTTACAGGAGGATCATGTAAGGCTGGGAAGCATTTCATTCTGTTTCAGACCTGACTGAAAACAGTAACATTATATTTTACTATTTTCATAAAGTTTACATAATTATCCAATAAACACTGTTTATCTTACATGCAAGTGCACACACATACACACACACACACCTCTTTTTACTTTAAGAAACTTCTATACATTTAGACCAAAGTGTAAGACTTCAAGAACTTTCTTGACAATTTTGAGACATATTTAATATTTTCATATCTTTCAAATTCTTCCTTCAGGACAGATTATGTATGTAAAGCCGTAGGGTAGGGACAAAATACTATTGATAATTAAGAACTAATTCTGACAGTAGAAACATTCTTAGGAAGCAGGAGGTAAAAGTGTGACAGCCTGTGCAACTCTTTGCTGCGTTTACTTTTGCTATGTAGTGACCGTTCTCATTGCAACACAGTTGATTTCCTTGCTTTTGTCGGGGTGAGGGTGGTGGTGTCAGTTCCTTTTGATGAAGGAGATTTTTACCCCGTTTGGAATCCTCAAGCTTTACCTCTATTTTGTTGTTTGGATTGGTGACCATGGAGGTCATGGGCACCCCTGGAGTACTTGAGTAGAACACCTCAATAGGGCTCTTGAGGGTGTAACCTTTCCAAAACTGGCTACCAGCTTATCTATTAGCCTCTAGGTGCATTTGAACTATCAACGTTTCAGCCATTGGTACATCATTATCTGTGCCACACAGGGACTCTTAAATGCCATCACATTTTCTCATTAAATTGAAAGAAATTTTCAATACTGTGGACTGAATTTGAGCAACTATTGAACTCACCCAAGGTAAATGATATCTTTCTTTGAAAATATGATTAGTATAGGCTTACTCTGCATATCCAATGAGAAAAAGTAATTGGTAGATCATTGGACCTTATCCCAATAGCACTTTCTGTTTATGAGGTGACTTATTCATGGCTCTTTGTTATCAAGTCTGAGTTGTGCAAAGTACACTCTCCATTGTTTTCCAAGGCTGTAAATCACTAAGAAGAGGTCATTGTTTCTCAAAGTTTAATACCCAGATCGGACCAACGTCAGCATCACCTGGGAACTTTTTAAACAGTCATTTAGGTCCCGCTGCAGAAGTATTGAATCAAAACCCCTCAAGGTAGGGATCCAGAATTCTGAGCTAAAATAAGCCCTCCAGGTGATCCTGGTTCACACTCAAATTTGGCAACATTTACTTGAGACAATTGACTTAGTTGTTGTTGTAGTCGTGTGCTGTGAAGTAAATCTTGACTTAAAACGACATGAAAGAGCAGAGGAGACCTGCCCCATACAGTTTCCTAGGAGCATGTTCTGGTGGCGGAGTCCATTGTGGGTTACTTTGCCCTAGTCATCTGAATCCACCAATGATTCTACAAGAGAAAGATGGGCAGTCTCCTCCACTAAGATTTAGTACCTCAGAAACCTGATAAACACTCACTATGAGGACTTGATGGTGCTGAGTTGACACTTTATAGGAGCTCATCTTGGGTCTTTTCTCCAAAGGGAGCTGCTGAGTGAATTTGTACCTCCAACCATTTAGTTAGCAACAAGCATTTAACCATCATGCTACCAGGACCCCATTCAATCTTGGTTGTTGCTGTGGCTGTGATGTGCCATCGAGTTGGAGCCAACTCATAGCTGACTGTCCTGTGGGTTGTCAGAGGCAGTAAATAGCACTAGAGGACATTGCTCATCTTTCTCCTCTAGAACAACTGGTGGCACCAAACCACATGTATTAAGTAGTGCAACTCTTTACTGCTAGGCCATGAGAGTTCTTTAAATCTTAAACCCATGGTGGGCAGTGTTTGGTGGAGCCCCCCGATTAAAACAAGCTTGGAAGCAGGAGTGGCATCCACTTCCATAATAGCTTGCCTCTGGAAACTTTATGAACCTGGAGAAATGAAGAAAGTTATACAAGTGTTCAGGTCTTTTGTTCATAAGGGTCGCTATGAGTCATCTATTATTCAGCAACACTTAACAACAACAACAGTAGCGTTTGTCTTTCTCTTTTATTTGCCAGCATAAATCTCTGTTTGTGAGGATTGGATTCAGTTTTGATAAATACCATAAAACGTCTTAAATTGTAAGGACTCTTGACTACTTTAAGGGACTCTGATGGCTTAGTGTTAAAGAATTGCACTGTCAGCCTACTGCGTACTACTCTGTGGGAGAAAGATGGGCAGTATCTTCCCATGTGTTTTACGGCCTCTGAAAACCTGGAGGGTCAGCTATGAATCAGTTCTAACTTCACAGTCCATAACATCAATAATAACTGTCTACTTTCTGAAATAAATTTACTTTTATATAAGGATTTCAGTTAAGCATTACTCAGGAAGCATCTCTAAAACTCAACATTAACAAAAGGTAAATTTTGAATTTGACATTCTCTGTTAATTTACCTAATGGAATCAGAGTGGCCGCCTCTTCAAATCACTCTTCAAAATGGGCTGGATTGTGTCTCAACATGCCTTTGAGTGCACTAAAAATGATCCCTGGCATAAATGTGTTTTCTTTCAGCAAGAGCTGATCTACTTCACATTCAGCAGACAGGGGAGCGGGGAGCACACTGTGAACCTCAGCCTGCTGCTCCAGAGATGCAACGAAGTGCAGCTCTGGGTGGCCACTGAGATTCTGCTCTGCAGCCAGCTGGGCAAGCGGGTGCAGCTGGTGAAGAAATTCATCAAGATCGCGGCGCAGTAAGTTGCTGCTGGTGAAAAGAGCTGCTTCTCTAGCATCCTCGAGAGTGCATTTTCTCTGTGATAATAAGAAGGGTTAGAATGTACAAATATAAAATTGACTTAAGGAGCCCGATGGTTGAAAAGGTCTGTTCTTGAATATGTATTATTTGCATTTGAATTATTAATGTTTGAAAGTAAATTCCACAATACAGGCTCATGCACTGGGCTGTATGCTAGAAAATGAGTGAAAAAGTGGCAAGAAGCATCCCCCTATCCTCCAGGTAAATGACCGTGTGGACAGCAGAGCTACAGCAGGCAAGGAAAATCAGGGAAGGTGATAAGAAACCTTGAAAGCAGTCATGCTCTAGGATTTTGCTCTTGGCAATGAGAATTGCCCACTGCATGAACTTTGCAAAACACCGTGGCTGCCACAGTTCCTTTGAACTCGAAAGTTTTCTCCCACGGTGCACCCTGTGCCCCAGCCACTCTTTCTATGTCTTTTCCACACAACCTGTCCTTCAATTGTGAATATGTAATATTGGTCTGCCAAGAATGGCCACTCAATTTGACCTGGTCTTGAGTAATGAGAGCAGTGTGCCCAGTCATTCCTTAAGACTCAGTTCAAATTGTCAAGGGCATGTTCAACTGCCGCCTCCTTGTCCCTTCACATGCTTTTCCATCTTTTATCATATTTATTAAATTTGTTTTAATGGGATTCCATCACTAGACTGTAAGCTCTCAGAAGACAGGGACATTTCAAATCATTCATTGTGCTTGGGGTACTCAGAATGGATCTTAAATAGCTGCAGCTCAGTAAGTGTTAAACCCCAGTGTCATTGAGTCAGTTTGGACTGATGTCACACGTAGCCTTTGGGTGACTATACAGTACTCCCTGTGTACTGCATCACCAGGGCTCTCACCAGTAACTGTTAGAAGATATCAAATGCATTAGATTGCCAATTTCTCCTAATATATGTGGATTCTTGCAAGGTACTCCGAAGAAGTCAGACTGCATTTACACCCCATTCCTACCCTCAGGAGTCCACCGGGGAGATAATCCTATGACATACACAGTTAATGTGCAAAGTAGAATGGAAAAGTACTCTATTATGGGATCAAATTCTGTTGGGTTTTAGAAGAAGAAAGCTAATATCCCAAAGGATGTGAAAAAGATAAGGAAATGTCTTTGAAGGAAGTAGCATTTGAGGGTATATTTGAATTCTGAGTGGGATTTTTGATAGATAACAATTCCAAAGAGGGTGTTTTGCCAGAAAGGAAAAGGGCATTCTTGGTGCTCTGTTGGCAGATAAGCAGAGCCTATGGTCTTGGAGATCAAGACCCATTCCATTTGACACAAATAGAGAGGTCTGGGTAAGGAAGCTGTGAGGGATTCTTGGGAAAAAGAAAGTGAAACCAGATCTTTACATCATCCAGGAAGATTTTGGACTGAAATGAGTCAGTAGAAGAGATGCACTTAAAAAGGGTAAGGCAGGAGCTCTGGTGGCCTAGTGGCAGGAAGCTGCACTGCAACCCCAGTGGCATGCAGTTCAAATCCACCAGATGCTCTGCTGGAGAACGAGGGACAATCTCCTGTCCCAGTCAGATCTGATTTGACAGCACACACACACACACACACACACACACAATTTTAAAATATTTTTTTAAAAAATGATAAGGCAGAGTACTGATAAGACTAGCATTTTTCTTCAGGAAAGTTCAACTGAAAGTAGCAAAGAGCTTGAAGAAAACTGTAGGCAGGAGGCCCTCAAAAGTAGAGCACTTCCCTTACTGAGGCAGGAGATAGTGAAGTGTCCTGATTTGTTGATGGAGTGGAAGGAAAGACTTTTTATGCCATTGAATTGGAACTGACTCATAGCTGTCAGCCCTCCAGTGGGTTTTCAGAGACTATAAATTGTATGGGGAAAGGTTGTTCATCTTTCTCCTGAGGAGTAGCTGGTAGATTCAAAGCACATGCCTTTGAGTTGGCAGCATTGTCACTTACCATTGGGCCACCAGAGCTCCTAGAAGGGGGAAGATAAGTAGCAGGGAATGTCTGAAGCTTGCACTGTGCTTATTGTAAATGTTCCCTTTCTTATTTTGCCAGTGAGTTTTGTAATGGCCCGTGTCATTCCTGAAGGTGATGCTCTTTGATAGAAAAAGTTTCTTCTACATGCCAGTTATGAGGAGAAATAGGATGTTAATGTGACAGGGAGTAAAATGACACCATTCAGTTCAGTTCCTAGTGTGAGATTCAGTCCATCCTCAGGGACATGAAATATATTCACACCTTCTCCATATGGCCCCCACACTCTTGAATTATTTATTGTTCTGATCTCTGTCCCTTGCCCGTGGAATAGAATGCCAACAGAAACAAATTCCTTATAATCACACTAGTAGAAATAGCCAAGGGAAAACAGTAATTTCCACAATCATGAAGTGTTTTCCCTGCCTAAGGCATCCTATTTGCATATTCATGTCTGCCATCCCCCACCTCTGTGGATTGAGTGGATTTGATTTCTGCACACAGAGACAAAGGAGGGTTTGCTAAACTGGAATGTTTAGTGTCAGGCAGTCTGTTCTCCTCATGGAATGAATGACCCCTGATAATAAAGGAGTACAGACTGAAATGCTTTCCAATATTGATACACTCCCATTTTATCTTTTAGATAAATCATGCCCTTTTTAATGAATTTTTATTTACAGATTCAAATGTTCATGACCTTTGTAGGTTTTTTTGTTTTATTATTTTCCAAAAAGAGAGATTGCTAGAAAAATTATTTATGGGGAGCTAAAAGAATTATACTTACTATTTCTTTTAGATAAATGATGCTGGGTTATAAAGGAAGTAGTACTGAAGAATAACAAAAGCTTATCTTCACCATTTCCTATTTTTCAGCTGCCTCTCACCAGGCTCTCTCTCTCTTAGTCTTCATCATGATTTCATTTCAAATGCAGTTTGCAGGGCTTGCTCTTTGCAAAGTACTTCAATGATGGGCAGAACATAAAAATGAATAGACAGGCTCTATCCTCACAACACCTACTATCTAGTGGAAAATGACATGATCACTGGGCTACCATCACATACCGTGTCACCTACCATGGTGAGAAGACTCAGGAGAAATACTGAGCCTTAATCTGTGGTAGTTCTGGCAGAAGGGACCAGATCATACCTACTGGCAGCAAGAGCTGGGCAGAGGAACCTGGCATTTGAAATCAACAAATCCAGAGATAGATCTAAGTCTTTTCTGACTGGTGCCAACTTTAATAGGGTGTAATAAGGCAGACAGGGCAGCATGAAGGAAGCAAGCGGCAGGAGAGAAATAGAACAGCAATACTACAAGTGATTGGCAGCCATGATCCTCCCAAACAGATCGAAATCCAGATCATGAACAAGGAAACATCTTGTTTGGGTTTATTTACTCAGGAGAAAGTTAGCATATTAGGTAAAGGTCCTGTTGGCTGAGGTGCAAGACTTCCTGCTTACCCAGGAACTGAACACAGAGCCAAAAGTAAGACGGGAAGAACGAGCGATGAGACAGCCTGGTGTAGACACAGTGACAGGGTACCTGTGGGAGTTGTACTTACCTCACATGTCTTGGACATTGATTTAGAGGCATACCTGGTGGCCTTCCAAATGCCACTATTATGAGAATTGTGATTGTTAGCTGCCTTCAAGTTGACCTCTAATTCAGTCTAGAGGACATCATGCTGAATGAAATAAGTCAATCACAAAAGGACAAATACTACATAAGACTACTGTTTCAAAAACCTAGTTAAAGGTTTACATAGAGAGAATCAAGTAGGAGAAGGTAGTGAGAGAAGAATATTCATTAACAGACAAGAAGCAGTTATTAAGATATTTGAAAAGAAGGTAAATATGGAATGAATGGACATTGAATGAATCATTGTGTTTATTGTATAGAATAAAATGTACGTCAGCGATTGGGGGGAGGAACTTTATAAACTTTCATATAAGTCACAGTTAAAAAAAAAAACAAAACAACACCACACCACCAATATATTTTAAAATACACAAGTTTTTAAAAAATGTTGTCCAGTTTATGATTCCATATGCCTAATAGAATCAAACTACTGTGCTCCATACGATTTTCATTGACTGAGGGGTGTAGTTTCAGACAATGATTACCAGGTCTTTCTTCTGAGTGTGCCTTAGGCTAGAAGCTCCATTGAAGCCAGTTTAGCATCATAGCATCATAGCACACAAGTTTCCACTGACAGGTTAATGGTGACTATACTTGTAGTCTACGACAAGAAATCAAACCCAGGTCTTCTTCATGGAAGAGAAATCACACCACTGAAGAACCACTACCTTTTTATTAATGAGGACAGGTCTTCCAAAATGCTTCCAGACCTAACCCTCATTGGCTTTCTACCCAGGCTTGACTGGACTTGGGCAGTGCCCAGCTGAGGAGCCAGGCAGTTCAGACAGGATCTGCCAGGGTACAGCCTGCTGCGCCTATTACCACCCCCACATCCCAAACCATTTTCTTGGTTCTAAATCAGTTGTTGTTCTTCTATACTGTGTGGACAACTCAAAACTGGTGTAGTTTTTTAGGGCAGCAGTTTATATATGTAATAAGAACCCTCAATGTCTTTTAGTTTTTGACAAATCACATAATGACTGGGAGTCTAGTGTAATGACAAAGTAATTAAAAATATACAAAAATGTTTGATACACAGAGATAATAAAGCCTTCTACATACTCAGGAAGAAATGAAGACAACCTAATGTCAGCAACAGGGCAATGAATAAGCACATTTGGGATATACTCCTGATGAAACACTGTATATTAATGATGTATTAAAGAATTCATCGTATGTAACTTGTTCTGTTAACTTTGGTGGAAATACCAACAGGATACAGAATTGTGTAATCTCTGTTTCCAAATTCCATGTGATGACATTAGTGAAGATATCATAGAAGAGATGGCATTTGATGGCAGATAAATTAGAGCTTCTGAGACCCTGTTATATACCCACTTTCTTACTTACTTGTGGGGTTTTGGTTATTTCATATTTGTTAATCAAGGTAGGATAATTCTAAGTTTTACAGACTTTCCGCAAAGAAATTGTTTTCTAATATTCCCCAGGTAAAGGCATGTTCTGGCTGACTTCGTGAAAATTAGTGAAATTCTAATCAGTTAAGTCCAAGGGAACGTCTGATTTCATGTAAAATGGATAACCTTACACAGTGGATGGAGCTCAACATGATCTTTGCATTTCATTTTCTTTTTCTGTAAATGAGAATGTGGGGCAGTAGGACCATAATATATGCCATATTTAAATAGGTGCATAATAGAGTAGCTCATTTATTGTTAGCAATGAAAATAGGTTAAATTTTAATGGAAGACGGAGCTCTTCTCTGTGAGGTGAGAGGGGCTTACTGTTCAGAAAGAAAAACAACATGTCGATTAAATAGAGGAAATTAGAAAACAATTACAGTGAGGAGAGAATGTGTACAGAAGGGCAAAGTTTAAAACAGTTTTCATTTGAAAGTATAAAAACATACGAAATAGAATTTTTTTTTCTTTAAGTGCCCAGAGTATAAAGAGTACAGATCTCTTTCTAAAGGTAAAGATCAGTTGCATCATTTGGAAATCTTTCTTTTCATTTAGAAATACTGAGAGGATACTACACTCAGTGGGGGGCTGACAATAAAGAATACAGTCAGCCCAGCCCTAGAGGTTACCTCTGGCTAAGAGATGCTTTTCAGTCTTATCTTTGGTGAACTTCTGGAGAAAGAGTATTACCTCAGAGTGCCTTCTGCTTTCTTTTCTTCCGTAGCTGCAAAGCCCAGAGAAACCTGAATTCTTTCTTTGCTATTGTGATGGGCCTCAACACTGCTTCTGTGAGCCGACTGGCACAGACCTGGGAGGTGAGCCTGGGATTCCACGTAGAGGGGAAGGGGACAAACTGAGGGGGCCCATTAAATAAGGGAGAACTATATATAAACTAAATAAATATCAAATACTAGCTTAAACAAAAGTTTTAAATAATGGATCGAGTTAATGAAGTTGTTTTCGATCAGGTGATCAATTTCTAAGCTATGTAAAAAAGTTTATAAAATATATTAAACATATTGAGATATATTTTAATATTAATTTTTTTTATTTTTTTAAGTTCTCTTCACCTGGAACTCATTTTCTTCCTCTCTCTGTTCCACTACAGTATCTGTGTAATCCCATGCCCAGATTTTTCCCTCTGTGACCTGCCCTCTGCCTTGCTCATGACCCCATCACCTTCTTCCTTTAGACTAACATTTCCTTCCCTACTAATTGGTTGCCTTACTCTATCATTTCCCTCTAATCCTCTTCTCTATTGTAGCTCCCCTTGCACAGGGCCTGCCATGGCCTCCTTAGCCTCTCTTTACACTATGTTCTCTCACACTCCGCTCCTATCACTAAGTGCCCCATTTCTCTCCATGATTCCAAAGTCAAATGCCTGTTAGAAGCTAGTAGGCTGACAATTTTTTTTTCTTAAGTTAAATCTTAGCATAGGCCTCTGTGTCTGTGTCTGTGTCTCTGTCTCTCTCTCTCTCTCTCTCTTTCTTTCTCTCTCTGACCAATGGATTATATTTCTTTGAGTCAGAGACTTTTCCCAGACGGATTGCCCATCGTCACCTGAGCTCTGGATCAACTGTCCTTAAAGAGACAAAGAAAAGCAGTGAAAGCCCAGCTTTCCCTGGTCAGGCAAACAAATGTGCATGCACATCATAGGATGAAAGCAGATGGACAGCAAAGGCCATAATTGATCAGAGCAGGAGGAAAACAAAGTAGGCTTTGACTAGATGACAAAGAGCTGTAGGAAGTGCATTTGAGTTAAACCTTGAAAGAATCTTTGATTTGCAAACCCAGAAAGGAAAAAATCCAGTTAAATTCAAAGAGTATACATTTAACATAATGAACATCTGCTACATGCAGAGAGCTGTGGCATTGTTTTGGCAGGTAAAAAATGGGCCTGATTACAGTGAAAGGTGTGTAAATTAAGGAGGTCTTGAACCAAGTCCCTCGGGATCACAGAGTAGAAAGTAGAGTCCTAGTTCTGCCTCGAGGTAGCTGAGAAGACTCCAAGAGAAAGCCTGAGTAGTAGGCCTTAGAAGTTTACGTGGGATTGGTAGGATGTGGATGGGCATCCTGGGGAGAGGTGACCACAAGATTTCCAGGCCTGGTGACTGAGACAACTCTGTATCCTCAAAAAGGAAGCAGATCAGAGAGCTCAGCAGCTTGCCTCGAAACCACACAGCTAGAAAGTGACACAGTGGGAACTCAGACTCACACTGACTTCAGATAAGAAATTACCATGCAAACACGTGAATAATAATTAAAAGAAAAAAATACATTTTAAAATCAGGCTGGGGTGTTCCAAGCACTTCTTCCTTAGTCTTTTTATTTGGGAGAATAACTTATTTCCATGTTCTATCATTTTGTTACTTGCTGATGTAGTTGATAAGTACTGTTCAATAGTTCTGCCCATTAAGAACAGACTTGTGGCTTAAGTTCATGGCAGTGAAATATTATTCTGTCATCTATATTTTTAGAAAAGTCAATCAGCATTATTATTGTCTGTTCAGTAAAATAAGTAAGAAAAAGATAAGATACATTAAAGTAGATTCTAGAACCGAGATCCAGATAGTCAGCAGGGTGTGGAATGTATAGTCCACTAGCTTTCTAAAACACGTAGCTATTAATTTAATCTATTCTTAGCAACATTCCCAAACCCTGTCACTTTAAGAGAATGGTGAAAATGGAACACTGAGAAGCCATCACGCTAGAACCAGATGACAGAGATATTAACATTCAGAAATGAGACAGGTCAAAGTGCCATTTAATGAAAATACCTCTTGATGTTAAATGACTACTGTGTGACCTTTTTCTGTTTTCTAATTGGTTTCTTATTTTCCCGAGGGTGGTTTTTGCTAATTTGGTTGTATTTTGTTTGTTTATTTTAGAAAATCCCTGGAAAATTTAAGAAACTTTTCTCTGAACTGGAAAGTTTAACAGTAAGTAGTTGGCCCAAAGGAAACTGATTTTTCAAATTAATAGCTGGTGTCTAGTTTTTTCCTAGATTAATCAGTATTTGTGATCTTCAGTGGCATATAGCTTAGACTAATCCACTTTCATGCAGAAATGTAGCTTTGCTTTTTATGAAGTGAAGAAGCAGGTAGACAATTATACTTCCTCTGTGTACAAATGTCATGAAAATATTTTTTGTGTGTTATGAATTTCAGAAGGCAATTTTTAAGCTTCCCCAATTCCAAAGCCCAAAGCTTTGAGTCCATCTCACTCACTTTGGTCATGTTGCTAGGAAGGGCTTTTCCTTGGAGAGAGAAATCATTAGCTTGGAAAGGTGGGTCGGCCAAAGAGAGGAAGACCCTTGGCGAAGTGGATTGACACGGTGACTGCCGCAATGGGCTCTAGTGTGTCAGGAACTGTGAGGATGGCACAGGATGGGACAAAGTGCAGGTCTCTTGTTCATAGGGTTGCTATGGGTCATACTCGACTCGATGGCACCTAACAACAACATTCCAAAGCCTATAATATTGGCACAGTGGTTAAGTACTGAGTTACTAACAAAAGATTGGTGGCACCAGTTCCTCTATTGGACAGAATATGGCAATCTGCACCCATACAACTCCACAGTCTTGGAAACCCCTTGGTGCAGTTTGACCTTGTCTTATAGGGTCACTGTAAGTAGGAATTGATTTGGTGGCAGTTAAGAACTAACAACTTGATATTAAACAATTTCGATTTAGTGGACAAGTTGGTGTTTTATGAATTATTCTTTTCTCCTTTTTACCTATCTCTTAGGTTTAGGTCTTGAATTCAATCGCCCCTTCTCAACCTGAACACAATAAAACTATATTCTCTTATTTTCTCTCAATTGTGCATTATGAGAGCAGTTTTTCTTTGTGGTGTACCTAACAAAAGACTTTGGGGCTATCTCATTATAGAAATTATGCAGAGGAAACCATACTTAAAGAGTCCATTTGAGGGAAATAATTGAACAATCAAAAGGTACCTCTCTTTTGCAGTCATTTCCCGTTATTATAGACCAAAATAATGCGAGTTTCAGTCATTGCCTGGATATCCTGCCCTAATTTAGTGGGTTTATTCTCCTAGGAAACCTTTTATCTCCTTCATTCTTAGGAAAAACCTCTCTATATCGAAATCATGTTCCAATTGTAAAGCAAAAGTAGATTTAGAATTGTTTCTATTACATATTGATTTTACCCTTACATTGTAATCTGTTTGGCTCGGCAGGATCCTTCCCTCAATCACAAAGCCTACAGAGATGCGTTCAAAAAGATGAAGCCACCAAAGATTCCTTTCATGCCTTTATTGCTTAAAGGTAAT